TTTGAGATTTTAGCCTTCTATAAGATTAGTTGGGCACCATGTAGAACGAATTGTATCCTGGTATGTTTTGGTACACTAAGCCCAATACAAGTGCATGCAAACTGAACTGAACGTGACCTTGACCATTTAAAGTGACCATTTGAATAACTGATACAATTTGTACATGTACCATATATGGATAATAATTCAAAATAAACATTCCAAAGAAAGAAAAAAAAACTAACAACTGTCAGAAAGTAAGTCTTGGCAATTTTAAGTGTCTGAAACAAAGAGGAAAAAATATTTTCCATATGGCCAACAAATCAAAGATGACAGCCATAATTTGTCCATAGGGCAGGTAATACATAGGGTAATATTTGAAAATATAACGTTCAGGAGACCAAAATGTAAGAGAAAAAAATCTAGAATGTTTTGTCTCACTTTATGTCTACTTTTTATTAAGGTATGGATTAGTGAGAGCGGTCAATACACTCCTCTATGTCATATGTACTAGGTGCAGAGCTCCTGCTATTAAATCTGGAACTTTGTACCTATATCTAAACACTTTTCTGATTATCGATGAAAAATTAGTAATAAAAATAAAATGTCATATTCTAAAATATATTAGATTACAAAATAATAATACGAGAACAGTGTAGGGCTTTAAAACCTATTTGCATTACATAGATAATGCAATGTAACAAAAAAATTGAGGCAGTTGATACATAATTGTTATGATAGAGAAAATATGTTTTCGGTTAAATCCAGTTTTACAAGGATTAATCTGTTCAACACGTTATCTGAGTTTCTGTAAAATTTATTGATTTCATCAGCAGTAAACGAAAGGCAGGATAATTGAATGTGCTTGCACCTCACATCCTTTTTCGAATGTAATTTTCTAAGTGTTAAAGTATGTACCTTTCAATTGTTTTAACATTTTAAAAACTTTTGAGTATAAATTGTTTGACTTGTGTAATACAAACACAGGCTTAGTTAATGAAAATGTCGCAATAAATAAATAACTTTGAATAAGATCTGGCAAGCAAATTCATAAATTTTAATAACAAAACAAGAACAGTATAATATAGTGAACTTTAAGAATATTCCTAAATTTAAAAAAAATATATGTTTTGTATTATATATTTTCTTTACAATGGTGAAAAGGGTAAACGGAACCCATTTTCACATCAATTACCATCTCATAAAAAGGAAATACATTTATTGAAACCCCGTTTGAAACTTCTGTTCAAATTTGTAAATTAACGTTTTAAATGTAAGTTGAAGTTTGAAGGGATCACATATATCTTAATTGTCTATTCTGAAGTAAAACAAATAATCTTATTACCGGGATTCATAAAAGCTTACAATGGTAATGTTGTATGATTTGCTTGACATCAAATCAGTCGATTTGTGATTCCGGAAACGTGGTTATATTCTGTATATCATCAAACTTCTACTTTGTGCGTCCTCCATTGTGTGCACACTTAGTTTCTGTTGTTGCTACTGATGTATTCATTTTTATTTATTTGTTTTCTTTGCTTGTGTTTGTCATTTGTTTTGAGAAAATTCAGAATATTAATCTCATGAATGTATTTTAATTAGTGTTATGTTTTGTAAAACAAAAAAAAATTATACAAAGTAACATACAAAATGTATTTGTGCTTTCTTATCTTTGAAACTAATGAAACATCTTACGAAAAATAGTTAACAGTGGGTGGTTTGTTGATTTTAAAATGAAATAAATGTTATCGTGCTGTCACAGTGGCTAAAACTAATGATATGAGAAATCTGTCCGTTCTTGATAAGCAGGTTGATTTCGAAATACCGAATCATTTTTGACAGGATTTGCATTTTTTACACGTTTAACTAAATCCCTTGTTACTGTTTGGTGTATGTTATATTGTAAATAAATTGCTGTTTAGACAAAATTAAACTAAAGATACTAAAATACTTGAACGGAAGACATTTTTTTCTAAACTGTAAACGCAGGTATACATAAACGGAGAGGAAAACATGCATTTACGGTTAGATATCGTGATAAAATGCAGGATATATTGCGCAATGACAAAAAAATGGCTGAATGTAAGAACTGCCCAGTAGTTTTATTACCAAATCATAACAGTCAAATCACATATCACACTAGCACGTAGAAAGCATTGCAAAATGGATACTGTATTCAATGTTATTTACAATTTTATTATGACGAATTTTATTTAGCCATAAAATATTAAGTCTGGTGATATGGCTTTTTAAAGAAATAATGGAAGTTTCTTTTTCAAAAAAAAATAAAAATAAAAAAATAAATGGCACAACGAGACTCCCCTTTGACAATTCAGGAGCTGATACAAAATTGTTGTATTTGTAGTATATCTGATGAATCTTACTCTGAAAAGGTCATTTTTTCAGTACGTTAGTACATGTCTATACACTTACGTGACAGAGTATAGTAAAACGTATATTATATGTTATTTTATTCATTCCATTTGGACAATGATACGGTTATAAAACAGGTGTTATTTCTCTTAACAGACAGTGTACTTGATCGATCAAACATTCAATATATAGGTCTGATTACATGAAATAAAAATGAGAATTGTAGGTAACGTGTTATTGACATAACATTAGTGTTGTGCAAAGTCTTGTTACAAAGGGAAATAATAATATTGGAAAAAATATATTTTGTTTGTCATTATGATGTTATAGTTGCATTATTTCTGTAAACTTAATTTCAAATTTGACGTTTTTCCATAAACCCCATACATACTTGTTGCAGTAACATTTTGTCTTTTTGTTTTTTATAAACAAGTTTTCATTTTATCAGTTCACATGTTTAAGATCATAAAGGAATTCCATACCTTATCCGTCGGTGTCACTTTAATGTCATATGTCGCTTTTTAAAGTGACACCTGACATACGATGCGTTCCAGAGTGTAACAAAGAATATTGCGATATGACTTTAAACAATAAAACCGTAATAAATATGATATGTATTGCTCAGGTTTGTTTTTTTATCAAATCAGTTTTTATTTAGAAATACATGTATACTTATTGCCTTATAATAATGTTTTTTATATAAGACGTAATTCGTCGTGAATAACCATACATTGACAAGGCGGACAAAAAATTCAAATAACAAAGTAATTAAAATGTATAATAAGGTATGAAGTGCTTTCATATTATTCAGAAAATAATAAGGATCAATCATATTTTCTAATTTTCGTCATAAATAAATCAACGTTTTGTAAGTTCAACAATGAATTTCCTCATGCGTTGACTTTCATTACGAACATTTTTATTTTTATGACAACCAAAAATTAAAATTTTCCTCTTTCCCCATGAGGTCCAACCCTTCGGTGAAATGGATTCGGTAAATAAAAACCTTTTAAAGATTTTTTTTAAAAATGTTACAAAAATAATAAAATCACATTATTTTAAAAAAAAGCCCAGTATCATCACTCCTTCACTGGAATCACTGATTTATCATAAATGTATTATTGTTGTTAGAGTATTATTAATTGTCTCTAAACGTGATATATTTATCATTAAGAGAAGATTATAGATTCTTGCAGATGAAATCATGTATATGTTTGGTTCAATTTAGACAAAGTAGAAGAAAAGCAAAGGATGGTTGTTATTTTTATTTGATATATGACTTATACTTACAAATTATTTCAATGAAACAAAAAACATTTTTTTTACTTTTCGATGGACCTTTAGTTGTGTTAACAGAAACGCCTTATGGCTAAAAACGTGAAATTAGTACTTATATGAAAGATAAATTATTTCGTTATTATATCAAAACGAAAATAACATTTGTAAAGCAAACGTTTTCTTTTCTGTAATGTGTTTAGAAATATAATGCACCGCGGTACTAGAAATGATGCTGCTGTTATAAGATAGCCACGATTTATGATATGGTATAATTTGAATTATTATCCATGTAGGAAACTCATCTATATCAGAAAAAGTAATATTGTATCAATAAGATATATTTCTATCAGATATAAGCATATGTTATTGTGACTAATGTCATGCAATGAAAGATGGATTATTGCCTTTGTCTTGTACATAATTACTAGTCTGATTTTCAGGTTAAATGTCTACCATCAATACTTGTTCTTTCGTCGAAGGTTAAAGTTACTATATCTCAATTAAGTGTCTTGAAGTAACTACTGCTATATTTGTTCATGTCTGTCATCTAGATTATTGCTAGAACGGTGTTGAAGAAAGAAATATTGATTGATTATAAAAACAAATAGTCAATACATTTTGGCTATGACAATATTTTCACAGACGATTTAAACAGCTCAATGCTTTTAATCGATATATCATACTTTTCATCTGTTACAACTAAATGCAAAGTAAAGGATCGCATAAACTTTGTTAAGCCGTTACTGCCTCGAGCAACACTGGAATGGTTCGAATCACTGAAGACAGTATCTATGTAAAATTGTGATATTCTATTTCTATGCAAACTTTTACTTAATATATTCTACGACCCTAAAACAAACCCTTAATTTACCACTGTTAGGGCACCAACTACTTATTGCTTATAGTTTGACAATATATAAATTGCATTTTTGTACAATCATTTTGAAAGGTTGTTAACGAAGTTGCACAAGTAACTGGACACTTGTTTTAAGTCTGTCTTGAACTGACTACTTCATATGTTTTTTATTATTTTTATATTTATTTGACATATTTTACGTACCAGATGAAATTATTTTCATTTGTTATGTTATATTTGCTGAAAAATTATGTTCTTTGACTAAACGTCAAAATAGTTCAAAAAGAAAAAAAAATATCTGGATTTCACTTTGCAGAACATACACTTGCGTTATATTGATCATTTTAGCTTTAGTTTGATAAGTACTTGTAATTAAATGAATCGGCTATAGATATACATTTAAAAGAAGATATAAATTAAACCTAGTTCATAAAACTTTATACCGAACACGTATTAAAGTAGTAGTAGACATCTCAAAAGTTAAACCAATTATTGAACAATTTTTCAGCAACTAGCGTACTACCGAATCCAACAATGATTTCAGTATTGGAAATTGCTGTGCTGATATCAGCTTAGTGAAATAAATTTCTGAGCGGATGATGTTTTATCACTGTGGAAATGAAATGCGTTAGGAAATACGTACAATCTTAACTTTTGAAGAAAAGTAAGTGTATTTACTGTAATGTTTTATTAAAGATATCTGAATTTTTGACTTATAAATAAGTAGTTTTATTGTGTAGAGAACAGTGTTTATTTCAAAGTTGTTTGATTTATATTTCAAAAAGATAATCTGTTTGGGAATATAATGTAATACGATATTTTGCTTTGAAAAACTTCGATTTATTTCATATTTTTCCAATGTGTTATCACAGTTCAAAATATATGGATAATAATTTAATAATTATGATTTTCATTTGCACAGCATGTTAACAAAAGTGTTATGGTGTCAGATTAATTTAAAACTGAACTTCAGCTTTATCTTGATCAGTTGTAAAGCTCATTGTTAGCTATGTATTACATTTAATTTCGTCATACTTTTATTATTCATATTTATTTGTGTGTTACTTTATTCTCTGAGCAACTATTGCGTTAAAATTTAATTTTTACAAAGAGGCCTATTGTTAAATTACTAGATACAAGCTTATAAACTAGTCTGACAGTTCTTAATGTTACTTAACTTAATAGCAATAGAAAATAGCAATTAATTAATTTTGTCTAATATCAATACATTGACACTATGGATGATTAAGTTGACCCCTTAAAGAACACACCGGCACGGTCGAACTTTAAATGGCAGGCATTTTAGTTTAAAGTGACATGTTGCTCACTTTTTCATTGTCAAATTGTCTTTAATTGACTCTATATTTCAATAAACTGGTCGTTATAATGGTGATTGACCAACACATGATATTTGGAAATATTCAGGTTACAAAATAAATATACATAGATATATAAAACGACTGTCAGGCCCACTCTTTTTTATAAATATAAAGTTAAAAATACATTCCGATAGATAATTACATATATTTCACAGGGCATTGTGAGTTATTTAACGTTCATGTGTAGTAAATTATGAAATATTATGAAACTAAAAGAAATTATAAGAAAACTTTGACTTTCACATGTTCACTCTATATCGACTAATGGATTTGCATAATGCCACTTTACACTTTATCTGTTTTACTGTTTTATAAATGCATCATTATAAACATTTTAAACAAAATATAACGACTAGGTCTGAGTATGTTCATAAAAGTGAAGATAAAACCGCATCATCTCTCAGAATAGGACCAATGTCGATTTTCTCCAAGTCTATATTTTGTTTTTGACTTGAAAAAATTATGTTTTGCAGCTATCAAACATGATTTAAAAGATATGTTTTACAAATATCAGTTGATTAAGATAAAAAAGTTAAAGCTTTTGAAATAATTGCTAAAGAAAATAAAAGATGAATATATTTTGTGTTTGTTCCTGAAACAACTAATTCGTCTTCTGTCGTAATCATTCCCTGCAAAGCATGTTTATTAGAATTCCTGTTGTCGGAAATGTTTATATGGATATTTAGAAATAAACAATAAAGAATTTATACGCATCTGCTAGAAATGTCGGGTTTACATTTTAATCATCATGCTACATATGTCAGTATTAACCACATATGTGATTTCTTTAATATAAATACATGGTTATTCATCTTTGGTATGTTAAATTGTTTTGTCTAGTATTATTAAATGATTGTTCATTATGTTTTTCATTTGGTGTGTTTAAGTTGAATTTTAAGAATTCTATCAAATCTTAAATATTAGTCACGTGTTGTCGGTGTAACGATTTTTTCTGTGAAGCTGAGCTACAATGTTATTTGGACTATGATTTTCTTTATCAGATTCTCATTTATAGTTCTGTCTAGCATAATAGGATTTATTCATAAAAGGACATATAATGAGTGGCACACCTTTCACAGAAGTACATTGAGGATTATTTCTTGCTTTAATAATGATGGTTACCTATTTTATTAAACACAACCTTAGAACTTGTCATTATTGAACTTAAAAAAATCGTTTATTGTAAACGAGTGTTTCTTTCCAATTGTAAATCAGTCTACCTATCTCTTGACGAATTACTTATGTGGGGTAAATGGCTTCGATGGCAACATAATATGTACTATATAAACCTTAACACGGATTTAAACCGCTCAACAGTTATTCGTATCGTAGGTGTTAACTAATAATTATGTCAATTCTCGAAAAAAATGTAAAATGTCTCAGTTATTTTACTTACCTGATATTGTATAATTAACAGTATGCAATTTTCCGGAACAAAACATTGCTCTTCCATTTCAAGAAGGGATTTATCCGTTCTGTCATACATTTATGCATGCGTCATTCACTTTTAATGCATTTTATAACTATATTTGTTGCATGCAAACATTTGGAGTTCATTATTTATAAATTTCAAACAATATTATTTGCAACAAATGCATAGCTTTATGCATCTCAACTCTTACTTTCAAGTGCATTTTGACAACATTAATAGCAACGAACGCCATAAAAAATAAAACTAAAATTAAAGGGATTTTGATCAATCTTGGAAGGTATTATAACAAAATTGGTTGAAATGTACTTATGTTCCTGACTGAGATCTTAATCAATGCATTTGCGATGTGCTTTTTATTAGTGGTCACATGTTTTGACTAAATTATCATCAAACTTGGTCAAGATGCTTGTCTAGACAACTGTTTCGAGAAACTCGAACATTGGTCATCTCGGATTAAAAACTAGGTCACAGAAGCTAAAAATAGCAAACACCTTGTTTACACTCTAGTGGTCACATTTTTGACTCAATTGTCATCAAACTTGGTCAGGATGTTTGTCTAGGTCATTGCTCTGATGAGTTCGAACATGGGTCTTTTCTAATGAAATACAAGGTCACAGAATCTAAAAATAAAAAAAATCTTGTTAACACTCTAGTGGCTACCGTTTTGATCCAAATATCCTGGACATTGGTCTGAGAGTTTGTTTTGATGATTTCTAGGTCAATATCGCATATCGGTCACGTGGGGTCAAAAAAGTCACACGGCTCAAATATAATTCATGTAAACAGTCTATTGGTCACATTTTTGACTCACCTGTCATGGAACTTGGTCAGAATGCTTGTCTAGGTAATTGTTCGTATAAGTTTGATGTGTCAGATGAGCGATCTAGGGCCATCATTGTCCTCTTGTAGGAAGTTCTTTGATTCAATAAACAGAAATAGGCTTTGGAAAATATGTCGACAAAATGGTTTTAAAGGGAAAATGTATTCAGAAATGGTTAGTTTATATAGTTCTGTACAAGCTTGTGTTTGAACAAACAATGGTTTAACGGAGTAGTTTGAACGTCTTATAACAGGGCTGCCTAGCTTCCCCAATAGTTTTGTGTCATTTTTATAAATGAATTTGTAAAGGAAATAGAAATCTTCAGCTAAAGGGTAAACAGCTATATCCGGAGGTTACAGAAATATTGGCATTATTATTTGCAGATGATAAGCCCACACTTCAACCACTGTTAATGGACTCCAGAAATTGCTTGATTTGTAAAGGAAATGTGATGAAAATGTTGTCAAGATTAATCCCAACAAAACAAGGTTATATTTTTTTTTGAAAAGGGGAGGGGGATAAAGAATGCATTGAAAATGTTGTTTTTTATGATAACAGATTAAGAACTGTATCGAAGTTTTCATGTGTAGGAAACACTTTCACTTCCTTATATAAGCAAAGTATAAAAGCAAAATGAGTTTATTCAAAGATGTTATATTTTCGATCCTTGAAGATCGTTCAGGACGATATAATTGTTGTGTTTATATGTTTTGAGGTGTTTTTTGTTTCTTCTATTTGGACTTTTTCAACTTTGGTGGTTCCAGTACTCCCACCGTCTAATCACCCTTAGGATATGTTGCCTGCTTTTTAAATTTGTCTTTTGACGTTTTATCTGCGATAAGCAGACTTCATAACATCAGATCTCCTAACTTAATTCAATTTTATTTAGTTCCGCCCATTGTTTTCTCGTTTAGAGCACACGCAATTTTTTTAATTTGGTACCATACGCCGCTTTTCATTGAATGGTACTACTGTGTCAATTGAAGGTTCCATGATTACCGCCGTATGAACACATTCGGATGTTTTTTAATTCAAATTTTCACCATTTTCGTGCTACAATCATTTAACGTTGAATTCTGCTTAAGCCTGTGCTATGAGGCGTGGACGGTAACTTGCACTTTCCAATACCGTCCATGAACATGCTCAATCAAACCGAGCCCGCAACAATTTCAATTTTGCCGTGTTGGGATTTCTTTAGGGATTCTGATTTTTCTTTTGTCTTTCTTCTATATATTCTTAACAAATTGTATGGATAACTTCCAAATCATGTATTTTTCTATATATTTGATACAAAAATCAGTCCAATTTTGTTATATGGATGCGAGATATGGTGTGTTAGTGAGCAAAGATTCATGTAATCCATTCAAAATTATGCACGTAAAAGATATATGTGCCTTAGTCAAAAAGGGAAATTAACATAGCTATTTTTGAGGATTGTGGCAGACATCCGATATTTTTTACAACTGCTAAAAGAGTCATTTAATATTGATGTAGAATCTCAAAGGATGGATGTGCAAAGATATGTACAAAAGGCATACAATATGATATATTGTTTTGATTACTATGGCCAAAGAAATTGGGTTACATATGTTAAAAATTTACTTATGAGAAATGAGTTTGGGCAAATTTGGTTGCTCAGAGTGTAACCAATGAAAAAATATATTCCTTCAACAATTTCTCTTAGACTTAAGGATCAGTAACTTCAAACTCGGTTTTCTGATGTGAGAAATAGTTCTAAATTTTCAATGTATGTGAATTATAAGTTAACTTTTAAGCATAAAATATATTTTTATAGTGTTACAATAAATAAATTAAGAAATACATTGGGTAAATAAAGGACCTCTTCACATTTAGACTTCGAAATAGAAATAGGGTGTTAATCAAACACTGAAAATACACAGGGATATATGCAAACTTCGTAATACTAAAATTGAAACTGAATTCCATTTTGTTCTAAAATGCCCCAGAGGGATATATATTCCATCTAAGTTCAATTATTGATGTCATCTAAAAATGTAGATATCTTAACAAGA